TTTTTTTTGAGTTGGAGTCTCACTCCATCGCCCAGGTTAGAATGCAGTGGCATGCTCATGGCCACCCCAGCATCGACCTGCTGGGCTCCAGCGATCCCTCCACCTCAGGCTTCCAAGTAGCCAGAACCATGGGCGCGCGCCACCATGCCTGCCAATTTTTAAAATTTTATAGAGATGCAGTCTTGCCAAGTTGCCTGAGCTGGTCTCAAACCCCGGGGGTCCAGGCAATCCACTCACCTTGGCCTCCCAAAGTGCAGGGACTACAGGTTGAGCCACCAAGTACGGCCCAAGGAGAGACTTTTCAAGACAAACATCTTCTTCATCTCTTCAGCTTTGTGTAAGCTGAGGCACTGAAGGTCGATTTTTCTAGATTTTCCTCCTAAACATCCCTTTGCTTATTATTTTTTAAACTTTTTTTTTTCTTGAGTCAAAGTCTCACTCTGTTGCCCAGGCTGGAGTGCAGTGGCACGATCAAGGCTCACCTTGACCTCCAATTCCTGGACTCAAGGGATCCTCTAGCCCCAGCCTCCCAAGTAGCTGGGACTACAGGTGTGCTTCACTATGCCTGGCTAATTTTCTGATTTTTATGTAGAGATGAGGTCTTTGCTGCCCAGGCTGGTCTCAAACCCCTGGGCTCAGGCAATCCTCTCGCCTCAGCCTCCCAAATTGCCAGGATTACAGGTGTGAGCCACCATACCCTGCCCTAAGGGTCCCTTTGATTTTGTGCATGGGGAAGGTAACAGGTGGGAAGTAACAGCCAAAGAGAAAAATGTGAAAAGGAACATGTCTATTTCCATTATATTCCGAGCCCCAATTCTCTTCCTCCTCTTTGGGATCCCTGTGGACCCTGCCCTCTTACTGCACTATTCAGAGATTCACTCAGCGGGAATTCTGTGATGTCCCTGCCAAGTGAAAGCAACTTGCTGGGGCCCGTCAGAGTCAACCCTGCATCCCTCCCTCCCCTTTTTCCTCCCATTCGACCTTTGGGGCTCTGGTTTCCTGCAAGTAGTGAATTATTCACGTCTGCTCAAAGATATCACATTGGCCCTCTCCCGGTTGCCAATGGGGTGGGGCAGGGAGGTGGCTTTGTTCAGAGGGTAAACAGGAGGCACCTCCTTGTTCAAACACCACTTACTTGCAGGTGGATGCCTGTTTCTGCTAAGTCATCCTGGGATGCTCAAAGCCCCATTGTCAGGCCCTTTCTGTCCTCCTTCCTGGCTCCTCCTTCCTTCCCACCCCCTGGAGAGACTCTTATGTGGACTCGGCCACTGTGCAGGGCTCACTCTGGCGGCGACATGGCTTACATCGCCAAGTCCTTCTACGACCTCAGTGCCATCAGCCTGGATGGGGAAAAGGTGGATTTCAACACATTCCGAGGCCGGGCAGTGCTGATCGAGAATGTGGCTTCGCTCTGAGGCACGACCACCCGGGACTTCACGCAGCTCAATGAGCTGCAATGCCGCTTCCCCCGGCGCCTGGTGGTCCTCGGCTTCCCTTGCAACCAATTTGGACATCAGGTGAGGTGTCCCGTGTGCTGTACCCAAGGGGTGGGGCTGGCATAGCTTGAGTGGGCTCAGGGGACAGGCTGAGTGACTTGTGCTGGAGTGTCTGGAATCACAGGGCACTTTTTTTTTGTTAATCGAGGCCTCCAGGTGCCCGTGAAACACCAGGTCTATTTGTTTAAGGTGGGTTTGTTTAAGATTAAACACTGAGGGCCAAGCGTGGTGGCTCATGCCTGTAATTCCAGCATTTTGGGAAGCAGAGGTGAGAGGATTGCCTGAGCCCAGGGGTTTGAGACCAGCCTGGGCAACTTGGTGAGACCTTGTCTCTACAAAAAAATCAACAAATTAGCCAGGTGTGGGTGGTGCACGCCTGTGGTTCCAGCTACTTGGAAGGCTGAGGCAGAAGAACTGCTTGAGCCCAGCAGATTGAGACTGCCACTGCTCTCCAGCCTGGGTGACAGAGTGAGACTCCAACTCAAAAAAAAAAAAGATTAAACACTGAGGACTGCGGGTTGATTGTTCACTGTCTTCCCACTATAGTACTCTGTGAGGACAGGTACCAGGTCTGTTTTATTCTTCACTGTGTCCTTGATGCCTGGGTACGAAAGCACTACTTAAATATTTGTCGAATGAATGAATAGAGGAAATAGAATACCCCAAATCCAGCTGGACTCAGAAGACCTTACTCTAGTGGGACTCGATTTAACTATTTTTGTTTATTTTTGTAGAGACGGTATCTCACGGTGTGGCCCAGGCTAGTCTCAAACTCCTGGCCTCAAGTGATCCTCCCACCTCAGCCTCTCAACATGCTGGGATTACAGGTGTGAGCTGCTGCGACTGGCCTGGTCTAGCTACTTAATGGCTCTGTACCTTTGGAAGAAATACTTGATTTTTCTGGTTGAGTGTCCTCATCCGTACATTGGGGATAATACCATTTAGCTCACAGGACTATTATGAGATTCAGAGGTAGGATATACAAAAGTATACGAAATAGTAAGTAGATGCAAGCGCTTCATCGTTGAGATTGAAGATTATTTTGTTTGTTTAAATTAGTCACCGGGCACGGTGGCTCATCCCTGTCATCCCAGCACTTTGGGAGATCGAGGCGAGAGGATTGCCTGAGCCCAGGGATTCGAGACCAGCCTGGGCAACATGATGACACCTCATCTCATCAAAAAATTCGCAGAGCATGGTGGCACATGCCTGTGGTTCCAGCTACTTGGAAGGCTGAGGCAAAAGGATCACCTGAGCCCAGTAGGTCGAGGCTGCGGCGGCGGCCATGAACATGCCGCCACTGCACTCCAACCTGGAGTGAGAGTGAGACTCCTACTAAAAAAAAAAAAAAATTGGCCAGGCTCGGTGGCTCAGCCTGTAATCCCAGCGCTTTGGGAGGCCAAGGTGAGTGGATTGCCTGAGCCCGTGGGTTCGAGACCCGCCCAGGCAACTTGACGAGACCTCACCTCTACAATAAGTCGAAAATCAGTCGGTCGCGGTAGCGCGTGCCTGTAGTTCTAGCGACTCGGAAGGCTGAGGCAGAAGGATCGCCGGAGCCCAGCAGGTCGAGGCTGCGGTGGCCGGGAGCGGCCACTGCACTCCAGTCTGGGCAAAAGAGTGAGACTCCAACTCAAAAATAAAAATAAAAATAAAAAAAATTAGTCAAGTGGAAAGTGGAGACGGGAGAAAGGAGAGACTTGCCCCAGCACATGTTTCCCTGGGCGGTTCTGATGAATGGCTCCAGCTGTGACAGTGCTTCAGTCATGCTCTTCAAGTTCTCTTCCAGGATTTCTTGTGTCTTCTGTGGCTTTAACTGTGCAAGCAGGCAGTGTCCCCAAGTGACCCCTCTAATCAGAATCTCCTTGGTTAACGCACAGCGGTGTGACAGCAAGGAGGAGATGGGGCAGGAAGGCAGAAGCCTCACCGGCTATGACCAACCTCACCCAGGGCACCGACTGCTCTCGCGGCTTCTTCCCTCTTTCGGGGGTTCCCGCCTTTGCCAGGGCAGGAGGCAGCAGGGGCAAAACCTCTCTAGAGGTGTTCTTCAGGCCTGGGGAGCCCCGGCCTCACACTATCACTTCAGGCTGGCTGCTTGCTGGAGAGTCCACAACCGCTCAGAGCCAGCCAGCTGTGCAGGGAAACGAAGTCTCATCTCAGAGGTCAGCTCTGGACTCAGGTCGTCATGGTGCCTGGGTGGACGCTGGTAGGGCAGAGGCAGGAACTTTCTCCCAGAGGGAAGTGTTTGACTCTTACGCTGGGGCGGAGGAGGGTGGACGAGAAGGGTTCTCACAGACCTGCTGGGGCATAGGGAGGGGGAACAGGACAGGGATGGCAGTGGGGGGAACACGGGGAACAGGCTAAGCTAAGGCGTCCACAGCGGAGCGCAGAGCAGAGGGTCTTTGGGTGGCAGCCTGGAAGCCAAAGGAATAATTACACATGCACAACCTTTAGCCCTCGAGCACGTACCCCCTCGACTCCGCCTTCTCCTCCCACCTATTCGAGAACCTTCAACCTTCTATCCTATTTAATCCACTCCTGTTGGTCGGTCCCATTCGTTGTTGTCTTAAACTTGCTTTGCTTTTGTGGCACCTGAAAACTGGACGTCCTTGGATGGGGTCTTCCTTCGTCAAAGCATCTTCCCATTTGCTTGGACAAAGCCTTGTCAGTGCTTGGACAAGGCAATATGAAGGAAAGCAAGATGCTGTAGTCATGTTCCTCTGGGCCCTCAATTTCCACCGTAGTTTCAGGAGCTAAGTAGGGCAGAGGCAAAGGCTGTCCTCAAGACCTGCGCAACTGAAGCCCCAGAGGCCAGGGCGTGTGCACATGTGGATGTGTGGGTTTGGGTGGGTGGGCAGGCAGGTGAGTCCAAGGGAAGGTTCTGTGAGCTTCCTTTCCCTTTCTTTCTTCTGCCCTGAACTCAAGGTCCTCGAGGCTCCAGACACCTTAAGAACAGCTCAGGGTAGACTGGAAATGAAGGCAGCGGCTTGAAAGGGCTGCATCTTTACGAGTAAGAGCAGCCAAGCTAGGAGCTGCAAGCGCTCTCAGGAGCGGCCTAGCAAACCGTCAGGCAGCAGCTGTGGGAGGGGGGACCCCAGGCCCAGAGCAGGACAAAGCCCGTGGACAAGGCAAGGGAAACGGAGAGAAGAGTGCTTGTGGGAAGGGCGTGGAGGAGGGTGAGGACTGTGTGGGGCGGGAGCTTCATTCCCCCTTCCCCAACCGTGCTCTGGGTCTCTCCCTCCCCCAGGAGAACTGTCAGAATGAGGAGATCCTGAATAGCCTCAAGTACGTTCGCCCAGGGGGCGGCTACCAGCCCACCTTCACCCTCCTTCAGAAGTGCGACGTGAACGGGCAGAATGAGCACCCCGTCTTCGCCTACCTGAAGGACAAGCTCCCCTACCCCCAGGACGACCCGCATTCCCTCATGACCGACCCCAAGTTCATCATCTGGAGTCCGGTGCGCCGCTCGGATGTGGCCTGGAACTTCGAGAAGTTCCTCGTGGGCCCCGAGGGGGAGCCCTTCCGGCGCTACAGCCGCACCTTCCCCACCATCAGCATCGAGCCTGACATCAAGCGCCTCCTCAAAGTCGCCATATAGACCAAGCTGCTCTGTGCCCAGGTCTGCTCTGCCTGGTCCCGAGCGCCCTTCGTGGGGCCAGTGGGCCCTCCGGAGACACTGCGGGCCCTGAGGTTCCCTTGACATCGGTCCCCTTCTCTGAGAGCCCTGCCTTCCCCATCTGCTTCCTCTTCCTCTCCCAGCCGTCTGCTCGATGACTCAGCGTGGGCTCTGGGCCTTCACAGAGTGATGGCACCTTCCTAAACCCCACGGATGGTGTTTGAGAAGCGTGAAGGGCCCGGGTCAGCCTGCTGGAAGAGTCCAATAAAGGACAGGTGTGGAGACGGCCAGGCTCTGTGTCTTCTTCCTTGACAGAGGGCAGAGGGGTGGCACAGACTGTCGTGGGTAGAGAGGGGGTGGCAGCCCGCAAAGTTCTGGTGGGGGAGGCCGTGACCCAGGGGGACGCCCTGGTTATGCCTGGCACACAGGCTGTGGCCAAGGTCTGTGGTGGCCGTTGGAGTTACAGGAAATGTGACCTGTCTTATTACTTGATGGCTTTTCTCCAGAACTGGGGAGGATGAAGTGATCCTGAGAGGCAGAGGAGAAGGCAGTGGGCCCTTTGGCTGAGGGCACTGGGAGGCCGTTGGAGGATTACAACCAGGGAGACGCCCCCAGCACTGTGGGTACTGGATCAGTACCCTTGGGAAATTCCCAGGAAGTCAGTTAACTTTTACCAGTAGCAAGGACAAGGAGGGTACAGTTATTGTGAACACAAAGAGCACTTTGTCCTTTTCCTGATCACCTTGCTGAGTGGCATTTGTCTTCGGTCCTTTGCTAGACTGACTCTCCCTCCTTTTTATTTATTTATTTTTTTGATTGAGGGTTTCACTCTATCACCCCAGGCTGGAGTGCAGTGACACAATCATGGCTCTCTGCAGCCTTGACCTGCACTCAGGTGATCCTTTCACTTCAGCCTCCCGAGTGGCTGGAACCACAGGTGTGAGCCACTATGCCCAACTAAATTTTGGATTTTTATAGAGACGAGGTCTCACTATGTTGCCTGGGCTGGCCTCGAACTCTTGGGTTCAAGCAATCCTCCTGCCTCGGCCTCCCAAAGTGTTGGGATTACAGGCATGAGCCACTATGCTGGCCTCTCTCTTTTTTTAAATTTTTTTTTATTTTTTCTTATAGAGATGAGGTCTCGCCAAGTTGCCCAGGCGGGTCTCGAACCCGCGGGCTCAGGCAATCCACTCACCTCAGCCTCTCAAAGGCACGGGATTACAGGCTGAGCCACCGAGCCTGGCCTCTCTCTTTTTTAAAGTTCACATTCCACCCTTGCTCTCTCAAACTCACATATTCACAGACTCAGGCACAAGACACAACTAGAGGCAGTTCATTTTTTCCTCCACACAGGTGGGGACGGGTGAGGGCCTCTCTTCAGAATCAGTGTGTAATCTGCCATCCGCAGCAGGATTGCTCTCACTATGACAGTTTGGTCGAGTGGCTTTGTAAGGAGGTGTCTTCAGTGTCCTCACCCAGTGCAGGCATGTTCAAACGCCCCCCCCCCCCGCCCCGCCAAGGCTGGTTCTCGCATGTTCTGAAGGAGATGCCTGCTGAGAGGCCACGGCCCTGTCACTCTGCCCATAAGCCTCATGCTGGAAACTTCTCATTTTCCCTTCCCTTCTCTCACCACTAGATGGAATATTTCCTCTTCACTGCAGCCTGAAGAGAGTTTTCCAAGCTGCACACTGCTTGAGAGCCCAGTGCTGAGGGGAATCACTCTGCTCCACACAACCACTTTCTAAACACGTGCATCCCCTGGGAAGTAAATGTGGAGTCGAGGCTAAGGATCCCCATTGCTCGACCTTCAACCAACGAAAGCGGTCGTTGACGGTGCTTAATTTCCAAAGGGTAACCTGAGCATTACAGTGGGAACCCCCTGGCGCCCTTCTGCAGGGCCTTCTGCTAAATTAAGGTTACCCTGAACCTGACTCTTCTGAAACCTCAAGCCTTTCAGATTCCTGCTCTTAGAGCCAACAGCTGGGGCATGAATCCTAATGGCGCAGGGCCAGACTGCTTTTAAAGCAGTGAGTGCAAACAGACTGCTTTTCTGAAACAGACTCCACGTTGGACGCCAGTAGGGTTTGTCCACCATCCTGATGGTGCTGCAGCCGGCAGTTACACCCACCAACAGGGCCAGCTCCCTCGGAGGTGGCATCATGCCAGGGGCAATGGAGGGCTTGGTATGCCGGTACAGCGTGTTGGGCACAGTGAGTTGAAGGAAATGTTTGGGGATTCCCAAAAGCATGGGAATGACAGCATAAGTGATTTTGCAGAGTGGGAGTGCCCTAATGCTAGAATGAGAGGGCTCTTCACTTGGGCAGGGAAATGCTGTTTGCTTCGGAGGGGACCTGATCTATTTGGCTTAGGAGGAAACAGGGCAGGCAGGACTGGAGGAGCCTGTTTTACAAGGACCTTTTGTTTGACTGAATCTTTAGTTGTGCTGGGGTTAAAATGGAGGGAAATGGAAAAGCCTTTCCTGTCCTCTCTTCCTCATCGTGTTTGTCCCCCTTTTCATCCTCAGGGGTATTGGCTTATGGTCATAAACAGGCAAGGCAAAGCTTTAATAGAATCACCCACTTTCCTAGATAAACAAAATCTTTTAATCAAATTTCCCTAGGGCACTCAGAAGTAGGGAGAAGTCTCATTAACAAGCTCTCCCAGAAGTGCTGCGATAATGTACTCAATTAGAGGGGGGAAACAGAATCATAATCTGAGGGCTCTTACCAGAAAACATACAGCTTGGAATAAGGGATTTCAGAGGGCTCAGGTTCAGAGACTGAAATCGATGACTACTTCCATGACTGTGTTTCATAGGTCTATCTCCTTAGAGAAACACTGAGACCGACCTGGACAACTTGGCGAGATCTCATCTCTACTATAAATAAAAAAAAATTAGCCAGGCGTGGTGGTGAATGCCTGTAATTTCAGCTACTTGGAAGGCCGAAGGGGAAGGATTGCCTGTACCCAGAAGGTCGAAGCTGCGGTGGCCATGAATGTGCCACTGCACTTCAGCCTGGGTGACAGAGTGAGATTTCAACTTAAAAAAAAAAAAACAAGAAAGCACTGAGTCAAACTCCAGAACTTTCTTATCACCATCACAACCTTCATCAAACTAATGTTTACTGAATATTTATTTGTTCACAGGCTGTGCTGAATACTTCATGTACATTGGGTTATTTAATCCTTACACGGACTCCATGAGGAACTTTTATCTCTATTTAAATAATATGTAATTGGGCAAGACACTTGCCAAGGACAAAGGGCTTAGTAAGCGCAGAGCTGAAAGTTAAAGTCAGCTCAGTGTGACTCCCAGGCCTCTACTCTCTAGCACATCACAATAGTGCTTCCTTCTAGTGCAGACTTCCCTTCCCAAGGACCACGGAGAGCTTCTGCACACAGTACTGCATGGCTTTAACATGCTTTCACTTACATCGTCATTAGATTGAAACATCCTGGAGAGGAGGCATAATTGTTCCCACCTTTCCCCTGGAGAAACTGAGATGCAGACAGGATAAGTGACCTGCCCGATGTCCCATCACGAGCAGGTGGCAGAGTGAACTCTGGACCCGGCTTTCTTAATTTCCTTTCTACCCAACCACACTGCTTCTGACAATGTTGACTTCTACAGTAAAGAAACATACATTTTAAAACTGGGAGCCTCAAATTCAGTCAAGTAACTGGCCCCGCTCACAAAATGAAGGAATGAAACCGAAGAGATTTTGGATACACTGAACTAGAGAACAGTAGACCAACAACCGTTCATGATGACTTAAAGCAACAGCCATATCTGGTGGGGACCAAGCTCTCATGTCTATTAATTAGGACTGGGAGAACCTAAAACCATCTGAGAAAGAGCTAACTAAAACAAAAACACCATTGCAGGCTGAGCTTCTTCCTTTACAAGCCTGACTAGGCAGACCTGTACATCAGGGAGTGGAGCAAGAAACAGGTATCAAGACTAGCCCAATTTCCAGTGACACCCACAGGGATTTATTTTCCTTCTTTATCTATCTCACAAAGGGAAGTGAAGAAGACCCATGCTTTTGCCTGACTCCCTTTTATTTGAACAGAAAAATACGGATTCAATGGAACTGGGTTAAAGAGGTCTTTATTCTATCAGATCCACAGAATTCCAGAAAATGAAAAAGTATCACAAAACAGCACAATCCTGGGTTAATAATAACACAATAGATGGAGAGGATCTTATGTTGTAAATGCTTGAACTATACAGTCCAAAACAAATAGATAATTACACATTCTGCAACGAGGACCTTGGCAGGGCATATAAAATTGTGCTCCTGATCCTCAAATACCTAAGATGGAAGCATTACCAAACTCCAAGAAGGGACAATTCAGAGGCTATAATGGGCTTAGAGCTGCTATTTAAAGTAATGAAGCATTTTCTCTGCTTTCTGGATTCATTTTGCCAAACGATTTCCTTAGCAGGTCAGATATAGATTTGCAGCAAAATGGAAAACATTTTCCAGGAATAAAACAACTGATCTCTACGAGCAGCTGACTTGACTTTCCTGAATGATAAATCTTGATGTGACCTGCCTAGATGCCTCAGTGCTGAAAATGACATTCTCAGCCTCTTCCTGACCTTCAGACCCTCACACTTCACGCTGACCCAGCACAATTGACAGTGAGCTGCTGGACTAGCTGTGTGAATTGAACCAGTTATTTGCCTTCTTTGTACCTCAGTTTTTTGGCTCTAAAACTAGAATAATAGAATCCACCTCATGGAATTGTTTCTGAGGATTAAACAAGTGCTTAAAATGGTCTTGGCACATAGTAAGTACTCAATAAACCTCAGCTATTATTATTATTGCTGTTACTCTACAAAGCTTTTCCCTGGTATCTACAGTGAACTCTTTGCTCACTTTTTTTTCTTATAAGCAAAGTCTTGGTTCAGAATTTCCAAGTCTCTTAGACATGAAGGGAAACAATTTTGTTTCCAATGCCTGACCCTTTACATTTTGGTCTTAGAATGAGAAGAACTGAAGCCACCTTATTGTATCTAGTACTTTTTATGCTTTCCAAAGTATTTTACATATATTAATTCATTTGGAACACCTAACAATACTATGAAGAAAGTGTAATATCAATTTTTACTAGGCCAATTTTATAGAAACAGGGCTATAAAGCCCAAAATAATGCTTTAACAGTTATATTGCCACTAACTGGTGGAGGGACCTAAATGTCAGTGTTGATAACCCCTAAGCCAGTGCTCATTCAACTATGCAAAGCAAGAGATTCCAAGATCCCTTTGGAGCAATTGAAACCATTCTGTTCATCAAGATTAATCAAAATTTACACTTTATTCAGGTTTCCCTGGTTTCTACCAATTTGCTTTTTCTGGTATAGAATCCCATTTAGGACACTACAATTAGTAGTCATGTCTCCTCAGGCTCTACTTGTCTGTGTCCATTTCTCAAACTTCCCTTGTATCTGATGACCTGGATAGTCTTGAGGAGTACTGGTTAGGTATTTTATAGAATGTCTCTTGAGTGGAATTTGTGAGACGTTTTTCTCATGAGCAGACTGGGGTTATGGGTTTTTGGGAAGAAGACCACAGAAGTAAAGATTCTCATCACACCATATCAAGGGCATATAGTGTCACAGGGCTTGTCATCAACGATGTGAACCCCAATCACCCAGCTGAGACAGCTCATCAGGTTTCTCCACTATAAAGTTACTCTTTCCTTCTTTCTGTATTATACTCTTTGCAAGGAAGGCACTCTGCAGAGCTCACACTTAAGCAGTGGGGAGTATCTGCATAAGCCATTTGGAATTCTTCTGCACAAGAGATTTGTCTATCCTCTCTCATTCGTTCATTCAATCATTTATTTCTATCAGAATGGACCCTTAGATATTTATTACACAGTCTGGGTTATAATCCAATACTACTTTATTTTGTTGCTGAAATTGCTCCAGCTTTGGTCACTGGAAGGAAGCTCTTTCAGTTGGCTCCTCTGTTAGACATACTCCCAATCACTGAGATTTTTCCATTTCAGCACTTCATTTTTCTGTGGTACAAGATGCTCCAGGCTCGTCTTGTGTGTTTCCTGACCCAGTCCTAAAATCAGCCATTTTTCAAAGGAGCCCTGGTTCCTTCTATTGGAAACCAAGGTCTGGGTATCAGGTGTGCAACTTTCTGGCTACATCACTGCTAACAAAGGTGCTCCACTCTGGCTACCTAATATGAACTTCTAACTTTAGCAGAAGAGCTCAGCTCTAAAGAACAACCTCCTAAATTACTTTCTCTTTTAACGAATAAGTCAGTCTCAGCAGAAAAAACATGCATAGAATTTTCAATATAAACTAAGTAACGACAAACCATCGGGCTTGCTATATTGTACAATGGAACGGAAGAAACATCCTTAGAATAACAGAGTCATTTGTCTGGGGTCATCAGGGAGAATACTGATAGTATCTTCAGCTTTGCCACATAACAGACACAGCATGGTATACTCCTAGAACAAGACAAAATACAAGATTACAAGGAACAGGGACAAGACACTTTTTAACTTACACTGTTTGGTAAAGCTGCTGTCTATAAACTGCCATGAATATTCTCTGTACTTTAGATCGATTTCTTCAATACTTATCGGCAATGTCTTAGGCTTATTCTGTGTTATTTCAAAGCCTTTTATTTATATACTATGAATACATGCTGATGCTCCTTTTACAAGAATGTCATCTTGGAAATGCATGGCTATTTCTCACACTTAGAAAGCACACATATTTAGCTCAGTGCTGCTATTTAAAGTAATGAAGCAATTTGAGTATGGGTCTCTAAGGACAAATTCCTGTCCTTAGAGCTGTTCCCTTCTAGGATATTTAACACTAATATGCAACAAAACTTTTTTTTTGAATAGGAGAAAATTCCCAAACCCCAAATGCTATTTTTATCTAGTCAAGGAAAATAATTATGTTAAATTCACTAATACGTCATGCCTCATACTTAGATAGTGAGTTGTCTGGAATTTGATCTATTTAAGAAGTTTTATGCATGCTAGGCTTAACAAATGTCTACACTGGTAACAGAAGGGACTTTATTTTAGGCAAAATTCCTTTGGACAATGTCCTATTCTTATAGCTGGCCATTCTAGAATATTTAATATAGTCATAAACTAGAGGGACATGTTTCTTTCAAACATTTTTCATCTTTAGGAAAACAAACATCTGTGTTAGGTCTACTAGTATTTCGACACCTGATGTTGTGTTAGCTAGCTGTCTGGCAATTGAGCAGTCAAGACAGTTGTTTCTTGGGTCTAGTCACTCAGAGAGGGTCGCAAAGGTAAAGGATGACTATGGTACAAAGAATCAGAAGCAGGCAGCTGCCTTTCCATTTCCTGCTGGTGGTGGAGAGCAGGAGAGCTTAGCATGACAGTGGAAAGACCGCTTCTCAAAGGCCACACTTAATTTAGTTTCTGAGTCGGAGTCTCATTCTCTTGCCCATGCCGGAGTGCAGTGGCGCCATCACGGCTAACTGCAGCCTTGACTTCCTGGGCTCAGGCGATCCTTTCACCCCAGCCTCTCAAGTAGCTGGGACTATAGGCACACACTACCAATGCCCTAATTTTTTTTTGATTTTTTTGTAGAGACAAGGTCTTGCTATGTTGCCCAGGCTGATCTCAAACTCCTGATCTCAAGTAATCCTCCCACCTTCGCCTCCCAATGTGCTGGAATTAGTTATCAGCCACCATGCCCAGCTCACACTTTATTTTTTGAATTGGAACCTCACTCTGTCACCCAGACTGGAGTGCAGTGACATGATCATGGCTCACTGTAACCTCCGACTCCTGGGCTCAAACAATCCTCTGCCTCTGCCTCCCGAGTAGTTGGGACTACAAGTACATGCCACCAAGCCCAGCTAATTTTTTTTTTAAATATTTTTGTAGAGATGAGGTCTTGCTATGTTGCCCATGCTGATCTGGAACTCCTGTCCTCAAGCAATCCCTCCACCTCAGCCTTCCAAAGTGATGGGATTAGAGTCATCAGTCACTGTGCCCAGCTCACACTTATTTATTATCTTTATTTATTTTTCTTTTTTAACTATGTGGGATATAATTCAGGGTAAGGTATACAAATGTTCATTGTGCAGGTCCCCTTGTTGATGAGGTGTGCCTTCCCCTCCCCTGGCAGTTTCCCACTAATGATAATCCTGCCCCTGCCCTACCCTGGCAGTTTCCCACTACTGCTAATCCCTTTCTTATAGTATTACAATAGATGTTCAAGGTCCACTTATGAGTGAGAACATGTGATACTTGGCTCTTTGCTTCTGTGCTAGATCACTCAGTATTATAGACGATCTTTATTTTTTTAATCAAGGTCTCAACTCTGTTGCCCAAGGTGGAGTACAGTGGCATGATCACAACTCACCACAACCTCAACCACCTGGGCTCAGATAATCCTTTTGCCTCAGCCTCTTGAGTAGCTGGGACTATAGGCACAAGCCACCATGCCAGGATAATTTTTTGGGTTTTTTTTTTCTTTTAGAGACAAGGTCTCATTATGTTGCCTAGGTTGGTCTCAAACTCTTGGACTCAAGCAGTCCTCTTGCCTTGGCCTGCGAAAGTGCTGGGATTACCGGCATGAGCCATTGTACCCAAACTGACACTTAATTTTAATGTTTACACACTGTAAAAATACATGGAGGCTTACGTTCACAGAACAAACACAAATTTCAGGAACTGAAAATAAAATAAAAACCACCCTCTCCTAGGTCTTTGGGTGTTCTCAAGTACTTCCACTATTTTAATTCACCAGATATTGCTGGTGAAAAAGTAGTAAGAGTCAAAAAAGGCCCAAGCGTGGAGGCTCACGCCTATAATCCCAGCACTTTGGGAGGCCAAATGAGAGGACTGCCTGAGTCCACAGGTTCTAGACCAGTCTTGGCAACTTGGCGAGACTTCATCTCTACAAAAAATAAAAAATTAGTTGGGTGTGGTGGTGTGTGTGCACCTGTAGTTCCAGCTACTTGGAAGGCTGAGATGGAAGGATCACCTGAGCCCAGGAGGTCGAGGTCAAGTGGCTGTGAGCGTGCCACTGCACTCCAGCCTGGGCAACAGAAACTCCAACTCAAAAAAAAAAAAAGAGTCAAAAAGGGAAAATGTATGAAGGTAGATAAACATCTGAGTTTTCACTAGTGTATCCACTGAGAAGTTTATACTGAGTGCCCACATGCCCTGAGATGTCTAGGTATGGTGGAAGATATGAAAGAAAGCAAGGACAAAGGCTGACCTGAAAAATGGACAATCTAACTTAGGAGGAAAAACATACATAATCTGGAAAGATCATTAAACATATATACATATTTATATACACACACTATATATACTATAATCTGGAACTATTACATGTATAATCGGAAAAGATCATTAAATCAGTGAGACTGATTACACCTCTCATCTGTACAGACGGTCTGGAATTCAAATGTCATAGCAAGCCAACTGTCTGGAATTCAAAAGCAGTTTCCCACAAAATAATGTTTTACATGGCAGTTGGGTTCCCAGGAAAAGCCATAAGTCACTTAAATTTATATTGTATGACTACTATAGATTCTAACCATATATAGTAGTGCTTCTGTGGGAAAGCATGCGTAGAATTCTAACTTGGGAGGCTAGGAACACTTTTCTCTGTGCTGTCAGGAATATGGCAGGATTACGACACCTTTTACCAAAACCAGCCAAGCAGGGAGAATAACTCCCCCCTCATTCAAGGCGACCCTCCCAGGATCCATTTGAGCAGGGCCTCGGGGGAGCCTTGGAAGGAAGGGTGGAATGGGTGGGCCAGATCCTCCTTTTGTCCCGAGGGTTCCTTAGCCCTTTCCCTCTCTTACTCCCTGTGAAATCTGACTCCAAGTCCTCTCCTTCCTTGGCCCACAGAGGAGCAGATAGCAGTCCATCGCTCCCCTCATTCCCTGATGTAAACACATTGCCATTTCATTTGAAATGCAGGATGAAATATTGACAGAGGTAGTGATGTGTTTAGAATATGCTTTGAAATAACCCTAAGGGGAGATGTGGGAAAGATGAATGATAAATCAGGCAATGTGAAGTCAATAAACTATTCTGCTTACTTTGGATTATGTTTAAATTTCCCAGGAGATGTTTAAAATAAAACAACAATGGTGGGGAATCCCACCTTGAACTTGAACTACTGCCAGGACAAGAGTAGGGACTAGGGTAGGGTGAGGATGAGAACAGAGTCCTGCAGCTGAGAATGAAGAGCGTTTGTGGACATCAGGGTGAGGTGGACGTTCCCCAGTGGCTGCTCACTAGAGCCAGGGCCTGACATAGGGACAAGAACAGTTCAGAAAATGGAGAAGCAACATAGGCTGGACCATGAGGGTCAAGAAGGAGATAGATTCTGAGTTCCACTGAAAGAGGTTAAGACTGAGTTGGCCTGAAGGTGAAGACACAGAGTTTTGGGTTTTTTTGAGTTGGAGTCTCACTCTGTCAACCAGACTGGAGTGCAGTAGCCGTTCCCGGCCACTGCAACCTAGACCTGCTGGGCTCCGGCAATCCTTCCGCCTCAGCCTTCCGAGTAGCTGGAACTACAGGCGCGCGCTACCATGCCCGGCTCATTTTTTTTATTTATTGTAGAGATGAGGTCTCGCCAAGTTGCCCAGGCGGGTCTCGAACCCACAGGCTCAGGCAATCCACTCACCTCAGCCTCCCAAAGGCACGGGATTACAGTCTGAGTCACCGAGCCCAGCTAGACAGAGTTTTATCAAGAAGCATGAGTGAGGACGCAGCCTGGAAAAGGGGGCAAGCACAGGTGCATGGGTGGAGGGAAAAATGCCGCACAAGGAGGCCTGCAACGGGGCGCGCAGGATGGCACATTTACGGAAGGCTAATCTCACAGCCATGGGCAGAGCTACAGCTGAAGGAATGCTGAGTCACTTAGGACTGAGTGGGTGCTATCTTTGACATGAGGTGTGATAGCAGAACCTGGGGGAAAAAGCAAAGAAACAAAGAAAAAAAGAGGGCTGGTGGGGTGTGAGGGCTAGGAGGGAAATGTGGAGGTACCCAGTAGTTTACAACTGGCACTGCATGCATGTGTGCTCACTATACAGGGAACACAGAGAAGGTTCCAGACCACAGACCAAAGACCAGGGGCATCAGTTAGGAAAAACAGTAAAGGAAAGGGGAGAAAATGCAAAGGAGCAGTTTAAATTATTTTAAAAGAAAGAAGAGGGTCAAGCACTGTTGACCTCAAGGGCAGAAGTGCTTCGACAAGACAGCCATGGTTATCAAAACCAGATACAGAAGAGATGTTGAGAGAACTGAGGCAGAGCCACAGGATTTGGATGTATTCTGGGAAACCTATGAGAGAACAGTTTTAAAACAGTGAAGATGAAAACCCATTTGTAAGTGGTGAAGAGGAGCTTAAGGAAATAAGGGAAGAGGGTATAAACTCATTCACATCAGGAGGCAAAGGGAAGCAAAGAGATGACTCCAGGAACCAAAGAGGTGGCTGAGTGAAAGGAAAGGGTTTTCACTTATTTTTAATGAACAAAGAAGAACTAAGTATGTTAAATGTTAAAAAAAAAAAATCCCATGGATTAAAAAAAATTTTTTTTAATTAAAAAAAAAAAAAGAGGGGCCAGGTGCAGTGGCTCATACCTGTAATCCAGCACTTTGGGAGGCCGAGGCAAGAGGATTGCCTGAGCCCAGGGGTTCAAGACCAGCCTAGGCAACTTGGTGAGACCTCGCCTCTGCAAAAATCCAAAAAATTAGCTGGGCATGGTGGCACGCGCCTGTAGTTCCAGCTACTTGGAAGGCTGAGATGAAAGGATTGCCTGAGCCCAGCAGGTAGAGGCTGCGGTGGCTATGAGTGTGCCATTGCACTCCAGCCTGGGTGACAGAGTGAGACTGCAACTCAAAAAAATAAAAAGAGGACACTAGAAGGAGAGATGATAACATGAGATTCCGGAGGACATGCAGTAGGGCAGCACAGAAAGGAGTAGAGAAAAAGTGTCCTCTACAACAGGAAGAAAGGAAGAATCTCAAATTGGGACAAGACCACATATGGTACACTCTGGAAGTCTAGTGGGAATAAGAGGGAAGCTGCAAGAAACAGGGAATAAAAAGTTTGAAGCTAAAGGGGCACTATGGAAAGGCAATCAGATGACCTGAAAGCATCTTTATTTTTATTTATTTACTTATAAAACATTTTAAAAAATAGAGACAGGGTCTCACTATGGTGCCCAGGCTGTACTCAGATTCCTGGCCTCGAGTGATCATCCTGCCTCAGCCTCCCAAAGTGCTGGAATATCAGGTGTTAGCCACTGCAGCCAGCTGAAAGCATTGTTTTGAGAAAAATAATCTGATGGCAGAGTACAAAATATGGGTGGGGGAATAAATGCTGCGAGGGAGAAGACTGGAGGTAGAGAGCTTCATTTAAGAGTTTTTCAGAGGCTGAGCACAGTGGCTCACGCCTATAATCCTAGCACTTTGGGAGGCCAAGGTGAGAGGATTGCCTGAGCCCATGGATTCGAGACCAGCCTGGGTAACTTGGCGAGACCTCATCTCTACAATAAATCAGAAAATTAGCCCAGCATGGTGGCACACGCCTATAGTCCACCTACATGGAAGGCTGAGACAGAAGGATCACTGGAGCCCAGCAGGTCAAGGTTGTGGTGGCTGTGAGCATGCCACTGCACTCCAGCCTAGGTAACAGAGTGAGACTCCAACTCAAAAAAAAAAAAAAAGTTTTTCAGGAGAATTTGTCTCCGGGCATCATAACTACAAGCCTTTCTCCTTTACCTTCTTCTTCCTGCCTCAGCGTAATGTTTTAAAAACGGCTATGTTCATTCATAAAGGAAAAATCCACTAGACTTTGGTCTCAGGGCAGTGATTCAGTGGCTTGGTTGGGAAATCAACAGGCAATCTCAAAACCCATTGAGGAGATCTAAAAAACTTCCACGACAGAAGACCAGGAAGTTGATGAATTCCGAGGCCGGCTGCTGAGACGGTGGCGCGGGTGGGACAGTCGCCAGGGATGGCGGAGCGGGAGGATGGAGCGCGTGTCCGGGCTGCTCTCCTGGACGCTGAGCAGAGTCCTGTGGCTCTCGGGCCTCTCTGAGCGGGGAGCTGCCCGGCAGCCCCGGATCATGGAAGAGAAAGCGCTAGAGGTTTATGATTTGATTAGAACTATCCGGGACCCAGAAAAGCCCAATACTTTAGAAGAACTAGAAGTGGTAACAGAAAGTTGTGTGGAGGTTCAAGAGATAAATGAAGAAGACTATCTAGTTATTATAAGGTTTACACCGACAGTACCTCATTGCTCTTTGGCGACTCTTATTGGACTGTGCTTAAGAGTAAAACTTCAGTGGTGTTTACCATTTAAACATAAGTTGGAAATATACATTTCTGAAGGAACCCACTCAACAGAAGAAGACATCAATAAGCAGATAAATGACAAAGAACGAGTGGCAGCGGCAATGGAAAACCCCAGCTTAAGGGAAATTGTGGAGCAGTGTGTCCTTGAACCTGACTGATGGCTGTTTTAAGAACCACGGAACTGTAATTGCTTGATATCTTTGTTTAAACTCTTTGTATAATGTCAAAGACTCCTGTTTAATAAATAGGTGGTTTGTACCTCAAAGCATTTTTTAAAAGGCTTATTTCCAAGCAAGATTTAATGATAAGGCAGTACCTAATTTGTTCAATGTATAACATTCTCAGGATTTGTAACATTTAAATGGTCAGAGAGAATAATATTTTCTAGTTATGTGTGAGATGGGTTGCTATTTTTCTGATGCCTATTCTGATGCAACTACTTTTCATGTCAAATATCTACTGTGCCCAGATATATTCAATTTAAATCATTACTCTGTAAAATAAAGACAACAGATGATTCTTAAAAAAAAAAAAAAAAAAAAAAAAAAAACTTCCACGACGAAGGAGCTTCTTGAATACAGCTGAAAGCACTCCCTTCCTCCCACAAAAGGACAGAGCTGTCTCTTCAAGCCCACAAGATGCACATTCCCCTATGTGACCACTATTCATTCACTAAAATCTCCATTTTGCTGTAAGTTACATATAGCATATGAGTATTTCATGAGGAATAGTCTTTGGATGCTGAGGAGATATGGTAAAGGTGCTGTCTAGATTAACCACGCATATCAGATCAGGCTCTGACAGATTAACTAGGCACTTTCTTCCATGCTAAAATAAGAATGAATGAGAGGGGTTATGCTACTTGATGATTCTGTTATGGAAGATTATTATTTGTTTCCTAATTAAAGTACTATCCGAGTTTGAGGGACTGAAAAAAAATTTTCCTTGCCTGTTAAACACTCTAACCTGATGTCAATATCCTACGGACAAGCATGCAGTTCACACAAAATAAGCAGCTCAATTTGAAGGCTGAAAAACAGAGGCAGTGAAGGACAGAAGGGGTCCCAGTTTGTCCTTGGGTCTCTCCCACTTGTCCAGCTCTGCTTCCTGTCCCTCAGACCTGTGAATTTCCAGTAACTTCAGGCCTACTGCAACCTTCCAGAGAATTCTTCATATGCTCTCACAACTGCATAAGGGCCAATCTTTATCATAAATCTCTTAATCTCTAGCTTCACAGTGGTTCAGGATTTCTCCTCCAATCTTGATACACCATCTTGTAATTTTATTTATTTATTTATTTATTGAATCTTTTAATTTTTTTTTTTTAGTTGGAGTCTCACTCTGTCACCTAGACCGGAGTGCAGTAGCCGCTCCCGGCCACCGCAGCCTTGACCTGCTGGGCTCCGGCGATCCTTCTGCCTCAATCTTCTGAGTAGCTGGAATTACAGGCGCGCGCTACCACGCCCGGCTGATTTTTGATTTATTGTACAGATGAGGTCTCGCCAAGTTGGCCAGGAGGGTCTCGAACCCACGGGCTCAGGCAATCCACTCACCTCAGCTTCCCAAAGACGTGGGATTACAGGCTGAGCCACCAAGCCCAGCTTTGTAATTTTATTTAACAAATAATATTAAAATATCTTACCACAACTGAGGCCACATGGTTGCTCAACACTACATAATGACTAGGGAATTCAAAGATAACCACCTTCTCACAATTCCCATGCGCAGCAAGTATGGTGGCAGTAGATAGGACATCAGTTAAAACCAACAACTGGGCAATCACATAACTGGGCAGAAAAAAGCAGCACTAGAGTAACCTTGTAAGACCCCATCAAATGCTATTCTTTATAAGCAAAAATGACAGAACTAAGATATCTTATTTAAGGCACACACTTTGTTTTATTTATTTATTAATTTTTATAGAGACAGGATTTTGCTCTGGTCTCAAACTGCTGGGCTCAAGAAGAGATCCTCCTGCCTTAGCCTCCCAATGTGTTGAGATTACAGATGTAGCCACCATGACTGGCCTGCACACACTTTGATCTGTGACTCTTGTGAAGATAGGTTTGCAGGGATCCACCCACATCTAAAGTCTCTCTCAACATGCATAAGTGTAAGACAGTGATGGTCCCTTTAATACATGCTAGTACTTCATTTATAAAATCTATGTCTATATTTTCAAGAGTACATTTATTATCTCCCTCTCCCCAAAAAACATACCCATATTTATACAGTTTACCTGAAATTCATCCATGATGCTGAATGTATACTCGTGCCTGGCTATTACGTGATGACAGTTCTTACACAGATCTGCTGAAACAAAGAAAGATTTATGTAATTAAGCCTTAATTAAGTCTTTTAAGTTTCTTAAAACAGTAAAATTTTTGTTTTCGGGACATATATATTCTTGAGTTAGAATCACTCTGTCGCCCAGGCTGGAAGTGCAATGGATGCTTACTGCCACCACAGCCTCAACCTGCTGGGTTCAGGTGATCCTTTCACCTCAGCCTTCCAAGTAGTTCAAACTACAGGTGCGTGCTACCATGCCGGACTAAATTTTGATTTATCGTAGAGACAAGGTGTTGCCAAGTTGCTCAGGCTGATCTAGAACCCATGAACTCAGGCAATCCTCTTGCTCCACCTCCCAAAGTTCTGGGATTACAGGCATGAGCCACCGCATGTGGCTAGGATATTATTTTAAAAGAATCTCAACTCTGCCATAGTTTTCATAGCAGGAAACCCATTATACTATCTACTTTGAAAAAATAATACAGGATCTGCCAATAGCAAGACTACATAATTAAGGGTCTGAACTCAGACTTAATGTGCATTTATTAATTCCCACTGAAAGCTCTCTAAAGTAATCAGTTGACAGATATTTAAGTGTGTTTTTAAGCTAGCTGGACCTATTTAACTATGTGAAAGCTTTTATTCTCAAGAATGACAGAAACTATGCTAGTATAACCAGTCAATAATGAAAGCCAATGCTGAATAGTAAAGTGAATTTAATGGTAACAAAAGAATTTAATTAAAAAATGGCAATAGTTATTATGATTTATTCAGTGCTTACTGTGTGCCAGATACTGTTTTAAGTTTTGTTCACTTAATCTCAAAAGCCCAGTGAGGTAGACACCATCATTACCACCTTTTTAGGGACAAGGAAACAAAAGCATACTGTGGTTAAGTGACTAGGAAGACCCGTGAGTGAGGAAGTGCTGGAACCAGAAATCAAGCCCAAGCAGTTGGTGGCCCCAGGGCCCTCACTCTTAACCACTGTGCTCTGTTGCCTGGATGAGATACAGAATACAGGGAATATGTACTAAAAAGAAAGAAAAAGAGTCTTCTAACTTAGAACATTTTCGATTGTCTGGCTCTCTTCTGAAAGCTTGGTGTCTGTCACACCCCTCCTTCAAAATATCATTATCTGCACACTTATTCCTCATATATTTGGAACATACCCAAGAACCAGAAGACAAGCAAAGAGGGATATAAACAGTTTAAATACTGGTTGCAGTATCTGGGCACTAAAGTATACTTGTACTTAACTGACTCAGGAATTCTTAGTGCCAACCTTAGAATTAATGTATTATACAGTTTATTACTTTGATTTCCCAGTACCGAGGACGAGAAGCAGCATATTAAGAAGACAGCTTACTTATAGCAACAAAAGCAAGGAACAACAGCCTGTCAGTGATACTGGAGACCAAAAAAAGAAAACAAACAAACAAAAACCTAAAGAGTAAAAACAAGACTACAATAACCACAGCATCCCAGAGTCATTTAGTACAGGGACAAATAGCCCTCAACACTTTCATAGCTGTTGGAGAACATCACTATAGTATACTACAGTACAAAGTGAAAACTCCCATGGATGACCTGAAGGTAATAGCAATAATCATAACAGTAATAGTAAAAAGTCTCTATATCTTGATAAAGGCTTTAAAAATAGAAATAGGTCCCCCAAAAATAATAAATATGGGCAGTCATGGTGACTCAGTCTATAATCCCAGCACTTTGGGAGGCTGAAGTGAGAGGACTGTCTGAGCCCGGGGGTTCGAGACAAGCCTGGGCAACATGGTAAGACCTCATCTCTACACTAAATCACAAAAACTAGCCGGGCATGGTGGCATGCACCTGTAGTTCCAGCTACTTGAAAGGTTGAGGCAGAAGGATCACCTGAGCCCAGTAGATCAAGGCTGCAGTGGCTGTGAGCATGCCACTGCACTCCAGCCTGGGCAACAGAAGTGAGATGCCAACTCAAAAAATAAATAAATAAATAAATAAAAGTAAATATAAGAATTCAGGCCAGTCTCAGTGGCTCAACCTGCAATCCCAGCACTTTGGGAGGCCGAGGCAAGTGAATTGCCTGAGCCTGAGGGTTTGAGACCCGCCTGGGCAACTTGGCAAAACTGCATCTCTACAATAAATCAAAAAAATTAGCCAGGTGTGGTGGCATGCACCTGTAGCTCTGGTTACTTGGAAGGCTAAGGTGGAAGGATCGCTGGAGCCCAACAGATAGAGGCTGCAGTGGCTGGGAGCATGCCACTACACTCCAGTCTGGGCAACAGAGTGAGACTCCAACTCAAAAAAAAAAAAAAAAAGAATTCAGTGCCTAAATTACAAGTTTCAGTTATCTTCAAAAGTAATTTATATTGACTACCTGATAGTTCTAGATAAATCAGCTGTTAACTATATTCTCCTCTTAAAAACCTAATTGGTAACTTCGTGTTGCAATACACCACTGAAATAGGCCTCAGAATATTTTGCATAATGTATCAACTTCCAAAAGCTTATAATAGACTCGTGCTACAAAGAAGTCCATGACTTGTGTCCCGCTACCAACACCCCACTGCCCTGTGCTCGGCCGACTGGCATCAGTGTGGGGATTGTGGAGTAGGTCTGCAGGGCGGAGTGTCGTGGTGGCACAGCTCACAGTGAGAATCGGTAGGAGGAGAAGAACGAACTATAAGGATACACTCAGGCAAAAGAAGAAATGAGCCAGGCTCAGTGGCTCAGCCTGTAATCCTGTGCCTTTGGGAGGCTGAGGTGAGTGGACTGCCTGAGCCTGCGGGTTCGAGACCTGCCTGGGCAGTGAGACTTCATCTCTACAATAAATAAAAAAAATCAGCCGGGCGTGGTAGCACATGCCTGTAATTCCGGCTACTCGGAAGGCTTAGGCGGAAGGATTGCCGGAGTCCAGCAGGTCGAGGCTGCGGTGGCCAGGAGGCCACTGCACTCCAGTCTGGGCAACAGAGTGAGACTCCAACTCAAAAAAAAAAAAAAAAAAAAAAAGAAGAAGAAATGGAGCAGCCCATGAAGAAGGAAGCTGATGGAGAAGAAAACTGCCCTTTGGGAAGCAGCAAAGGCCACTAGCCTGCAGGAAATAACAGAACGGGACAGGCTTGCCAACTTGCCCCTAATTTTCTTTTCTTTTCTTTTTTTTGAGTTGAAGTCTCACTCTGTCACCCAGGTTGGAGTGCCATGGCATGCTCATGGTCACCCCAGCATTGACCTGTTGGGCTCCGGTGATCCTTCAGCCTCAGCCTTCCAAGTAGCTGGAACTACAAGTGCATGCTACAGTGCCTGGCTAGTTTTTTTTTTTATTGTAGAGATGAGGTCTGGCCAAGTTGCCCGGGCTGGTCTTGAACCCGCGAGTTCAGACAATCCACTTGCCTCAGCCTCCCAAAATGCTGAGATTACAGGCTGAGCCACCGAGCCTGGTTGCCCCTAATTTTTAATGGGCAATACCCAGTAGGCGGTCAATGATGGGATGCGTGGGTGGAGACGATATGGAAATGCTCATGGAGATAAGAGAAATGAGAAGAAAACTTAGGTAGCTGCAGTTGAGGAACTGTCTGTGTATCCTTATGAGGGAGCTCTCTAATCACCATGACCATCATGAATTTTGCTTTATGCCTTGACTCCTTCCATTTTCTGTAAGATTAGTACTGTGATTCCCCGTTTTCTTTTTCCTTGCACTTTCCTGATATGTCTTTATCAGTCCGTTTGCTGTGAACATTATGTTATTTCCATGTGTCACGTGTGTCTTGTGTTGCAGTTTCTAACTGGAGATTTTGCCTTTGTACCCAGTCTATTTCTCTCAGCAGCAGAGTTTCACCCATTTACATGGAGAAATGTAAAGTTGATAAAGCAGTTAAAAAGCAAAAAATAAAATACTTACGATCATAGGTGACTATCTCTTCTCCATCCTCTTCTTTCAGGGACTTGTTTGTGATCAGCATGAAGTCCCGCTTACTGCACACAGCACAACCCGTGAAGTTTAGCAAGAAGGAGCCATTCTCCAGGCACGTGTTGCCCTGAAATATTAGGATGAATTTTATTTCCTTTCATTTCAATATCTTTTTTAGGGGGGCAAACAGCTTTATCGGGGGTGAGGGCAGGGAAAGGAATAAAGAACATCGACCTCTGCTGCCAATGAGAGCCATTTAAAAATCTTTAGTGAAGATGGCTAACAGACTTAAAACCTCAAAAGGTAAAAAAACACAAAAAACTCAAAAAGGCCAGAATTGGCCAGACTTGGTGGCTCAGCCTGTAATCCTAGCACTTTGGGAGGCCGAGGCGAGTGGATTGTCTGAGCCCGGAGGTATGAGACCAGCCTGGGGAACCTGGTGAGACCTCATCTCTACAAAAAATAAAAAATTAGCCGGGCGTAGTAGTGCATGCCTGTAGTTCCTGCTACTTGGAAGACTGAGACAGAATGATTGCTGGAGCCCAGGTTTGTGCCACTGCACTCCAGTCAGGGCGACAGAATGACTCCAACTAAAAAAAAAAAAGAAACTGGAAACAGAGCCATTGCTTTGCTAAGCCATGGACTGACCATGTGGTTCCTTAAGCCACGGCTGCCATGTTTCCTAGCCTTGGCCTCCTCCTCTACCTTGGGGAGAATGAATCTCCTGTCTCTGTCTCTCTCTCTCTCTCTCTCTCTCTAATTTACTTTTTAAAATAAACTGTATTTTCCTTTTCCTTTTTTTTTGAGTTGGAGTCTCACTCTGTCGCCCAGACTGGAGTGCAGTGGCC